CAATTTAAGTCAGCGCTTTGCACACGTATGGTTTGTCTATCACTATTTCACCTGCATCCACGCTAACACATTCACCTTCGGTTGATGCATAGCTGACCGTGGGATTTTTGTAGATCGTCCCCCGAGATGGCGCCTTGGAAATCTTTTCTTCACGGAGCAAGTAATCATACTGCTCGACATGCTGGGCTAGTTCATACATATCCCGAAAGTTTACCCCCAAAAATTTCTTTTTATATTCTACGTCAAGTCCTTTCAGAGCAAGTCTGACGAATTCAACTTCGGGGAGAGATACTCGGCACCAATTCCTGGCCGATTTAAATCTAGTAAGATAATCCATTGGTGACTCGTCGGATGCTTGAGCCATCCTTGCTAACAAAGACACTGACATTTCCATTCCTGGCCAATAGAATTGTTCATGAAATTTCTCGACCAACTCTTCCCAGCTCTGGATAGAATTCGGCGGGAGGTTGATATACCAAGCAAACGCTGAACCGGTCAGCGAAAAGTTGAAAAGTCGCAGCTTGTGAAAGTCGCTATTGACGTCTCCGCATTGCGCTGTGAACCTAGCCACATGTTCCAATGAGGATAAGGATGATTCTCCAGCGAAAAGGCTAAAATCCGGGATTTTGAAACCTCTAGGGTATTCGAACTGTTCCACATAAGCGGGATAAGGATGTATAAATTTAGGGAACTTCGGCCCTTTCTTCATGGCCGAATCGATCATCCGTTGAACCTCGGTCATATCCACAGGTATTACTTCCACTCTCTGATTGGACCCGTCTGACTTACTGTTTGATCCTCCTCTTTTTTCCAAGTCGATTGGTTTGAGCCGAGCAGGGATTGACTCGGCCGGTGCACTTGGTAATAGATTATTCCTCGGTGGTAAGTGCTGGGCAAGATCGAAAGACCTACCGTCGCTGACCTTACTAACCAGTATTTCGAGTAATCTAGTTTGTGCTTCACTGGTATGGTGTATCACGTCATGAAGTTTATCGATTCCTCAATTAAACGTCTGTTCAACCGTCCGAGATTGCTCGTCAAGTCGTTTTCGTAAAAACGATCTTGTTAGTGGATCAGATCCTTCGCCACCATCCTCGTCACAATCCTCTATTATCCCTTCAGTGAGAACGCAAGTATTCCTATTAGGGATCTCAAGGCTGCGAAACTGACCGCCGAGATTAACTTCCCTTTCTCGACGGGTCGCGCTCATGGACTCAGGTGTTACGGCGCTGATGGGATTCTGCACTTGTGGCACACTTTGTCCTGTGTTCTGAATCGGCAAATCGGCTGTTGATTTTCCCATAGCTGTTTTCTTTTTTACCGATCACGTTTCAATTGGCATGAACTTCGTAGTTTAGCATTGGGTCCTACTGAGCGTGCCAAAATGTTGACCCTAAAAACTACCCAAGCCTACGTGGCGCGCAGGCCGAGTAATCTATAAGCTAACTACGTCCTTCGGTGAATGCGGGGCGTGCCAACTCATCAGCCGAGCTCGGCCGAGGAGTAAATTTGTTGATGTTGGGTGCGCGGCTGACTTCTACGTCTTACGATTGGGGCCAAGAAAGGAACACGTCTCGGCCTCTTGGGCTTTCGAACCTGAAGACAAGGTTACTATTCTTATGAAGTTCAATATCAAATTCGGCTTTCAATGTGCCGAATGTAATAACTTGTAACACCTCACTTCGCCGAGAAGGCTGAAGAGATGACCCCGACCAATAAGGATTCAGAAATCCTTCTCGATCGAGACTTGGATAGGTAATCAACCGTCCTTGCCGCAGTGCTGTTGATGCCAACGGAAGATGCTGCGAGATCGGCTGATTCTACGGTGACAAAGCTATCTATGCCGACTTAAGATATCACCGGTTGCTTTCACAGTGCTGTTGATGCCAACGGAAGGTGTGTCAGCAAAAAGAGAAAATAAAAAATCTCAAAGTTGTTGAGAGAGTTTGCGCAGGGCAGTTGTGTGTTGAATTGGAGAGAGCTTTGAATGATGCACAACCTCTTCTATTTATAGCAATGGATACCCTCAAGGTCGAGCTAAAATCCTATTCGGACTATGACTTCTTCTCCTGATCAAACACCACCTCGACCAGTCCTATTCTCACTATGATTGTGAACCTAGTCCTTAATTGAGCCGGATTCGCTTTCGGGTTATTAATCTGCCGAGACTCCTTATTGCACCAGGACTCGGCTTGTCCCACGTCATGACCTAGCCGTCCTGGGTTTGGAGGCCCACGAACCATGATACCCTTGTCGTAAAGCCTCTCGGGCCGAGAATAATTCTATACTCGGCCCAAACTAATATTTTGGGCCCAAACAGGTTTTAATCAATGGAGTAAAAAAAATAAGGATGATAACCTAATTTCTTCTATTTCTCAGTGCATTTTAGATTGTTGATGGAGTTCAGCTCATGTTACATAAAATTGGCCTTTCATTTGTAGTAACATTGCTAAGCCTGAAGCAGCTCATATAACCACATTATGTTATGTAGCAATGCTTTTTATTCATCGTAAGTTGAGATTTGAGCGAAGATTCAAGCATTTGTATGTTGCTTATTATGGAAAGATTGCCATATGAGAGCATCAAGGGATGGCCACAGAGCGAATTACCGGTCGAATAGTACTTCGAAAAGATGTGAATGTGATTGTGTTTGCACTTTGAATTTAACCTCTACCAATAGATGTACGGCCGAGCAAGTAACCTCTTCTCGACCTAGGTTATTACTCTAGCATGAAGGCAAGGCTTTGAATGAACAACCAAATGGTGAAGGTGAAGATCAAATGAAAAAGGGAAGGGAATTGAACATAAACAAGATTGAAATTAATCTAGTCATGAAAAAATAAATTAAATTAAAGACAAGGCGTAGAAACATGAATGCAAATGAATTGAACACGCAATAACGAAAATGAATAAACAGTGAGTAATCTAAATTGCATATGGTAACGAAATTTGAATTCATTTTAACAAACATGTTGATTCAAAATTGCAGTTTGTAAATGAACGAAAAGAGAGCGAAAGACACAGTGATTCATGAGCTGTTAATTTAACCATGTGGTTCTTAGATTTAATTTAATTTTTATTTTTAAAATTACTAAATATTAAATAATTTAACTATATTCATCATTGTGTAATTGAAGTTCTGTTTGTCATTGTATCGAGGTTGCAGTTTGCTTACTTGCCAAAGCTTTTAACGTGTTTCGGAAGTGATACACATGGAGAATACCAATGGCTACACATCCCAGGTTTAAGCTTTTGCTTGCTGTCTATTTGCCATACATGACGATTAAGGATGCCAGCAAATTTTCAAGTCATGTTGGCTGATTAGGATTGGATTAGTCTTGGGTTAGGTAGAATTTGATTGAAGAGGCTAATAGTAAGTATTTGTGGATTAATTTTCGCGTCGTTAGATATAATATATATATATATATATATATATATTGTAGGAGATTCTAATTTTCTGTATAATAATTAATATCAGGGTCATTTGATCCAAGTCTAAAAAATTCATCGCTTAAGTTATAGTTGTTCTAGCTGGTAGTGCTATTCCTGGATTCAAGATGACAAGTGGAACTCCATGTCCATGGATCACCAACTGGTGATAACTTTCTGCAGTCATTAATCCCAAACGGTGCTGCAAAAACATAACTATGTATTACATACAAAGCCAAGCAAAATCTGTTCCACACACTTTTCGAAGACAAAAATACACAAATCTAAGGTGTTGTTTCTTTTTCTTTTGTTTTTTTCTAAGCATTTGCCCTCGTTTAGAAGTAACAACGCCATTTCGAAGTTGAAAAGACGAAATAAAAAATTGGTAGAAACTCGTGGAAATTTGGCTCACTTATATTTATATAAATTTTTGTCTCTTATCTTGAAATCCAATTTTACAATTAGTTTCCTCCAATATTTCACCAAATTCCATAATATTGTAATTTTTTAGTAAATATATTATGGTGGTTAAAACCTAGTTTACTCCTCTCATTGGTGAAGAAAAGCGTAGGCACAACAAAATTTTAATTCAAACTTACAAACAAAATGAACGAGATATGCACAAGCCAGAATCATTCTAATAACATGTAACATGTCACACACACAAATATGCTGCACACCACACCATCACTATCCTCGTGACCTTTTATACATATCTTACCCTAAATTTTAATATTTGCCTTGTTGAAATTGTTATTAGCACTTTAAAATATTAATTACGTATGTCTTTTGTTTTTGACACTAAATAGTTAAAGATTACTATTTTGAAGCAATGATAACAGCCTTATTTTATTAGGAAAACTAATAAAAATGGTTTGAAAACTTTGAGTTTTAACGATAAGGACAAAATAAAGAGTAAAATGAATAGTATCAAGATTGACTTTTTAGTGTAAAAATATGATTTTTTGTTAAAGTGAATAATACCGGTGCTTTTCGTTAAAGTTCCCTATTTTATTTTGGCAACGACATTATGGTTTGGGTGAATTTTATTGTTCTTTTGTCTTTTCTTCTGCTCATTTTCTTTTGTGAATAGACAAAATAACATGGAAATTGCTATTCATGCATTTGATTTTACCTTCCACACATCTTTGTCAATTTTTTGTCATTAATCGTCAATTCATTCAATCTGACGATCGAAAATTAAAAGAAGTGGATAAAAAGTTTAAGTAAGTATGTGGATAGTACTATCCAATAACAAATGAAACCTAGCCCGCTTACGGTTGGGCGCACTAACAACAAAACCTGAATGAGCAAATTTTGAAAGTTCATGGTACTAAATTAGTGAAATTAAAAGTAGGGTACACACAAGTCCAGAGGAGCGAACCGCATGGTACAAAAAACATATTTAACCAAAAGTAAATTTGGAAGGATAATACTTGTTTGATGCAGATGAATGGTTAGAAAATCTCCAAATTTAATGACTTTTTGCACATACGATCTTTAATTTATAATAAATAAAATGAACGGTTCTAATTTTGATGTTTGCACGGTAAAGGTATATTAATCATAAGTGGAGGGACAAAGTAGGTTTCCCATAATCGGAAAAACAAGCATTATCCGATTTGGGATACCATGCAACCAATATATTTTCCTGAAACCATTTTTCTAAAGGATAAAAGTCACATCAACCAGCATTGCAAATAGTAGGCCCTGTGCATTGTGAGGCAAGGTTCTTCCTCTTCCACCTTATTGTTACATCCAGTATCAAAGCATTTCTCATATCAATATATTACAACAATGCAAAAATACCAGGCATCGTCTCAAGAGACAAGTAACGATCCGTACGCGTTGTGGTATTACAGCTCATCCCGGGAACCTGCTGCGATTTTCCCATGATCGACATAAGACGCGTACGCCTTGATTATAGATTCGTAAATTTCGATTCCTTTCAAGTATTCGTCTTTGTTTAGAAACTGCAACAAGGTGATAATTTATGGTTAAACTACTTGGTTGCAGATCAACTTATAAAATAAAAACCACAGAAAGACAAGTTCACAAACGCTTAAGGATGCAAATGTAAACAGAACAACCAAAATATCAGCCTGGCTACTCACCTCATTGTGGTCATGAAGAAGAATGGGAGTGTTGGCCATCGGAGAGAATCCAATTGCTGGCAAGCCTAGATTCCGGAAGTAGCGAGCATCTGTTGACGCAGGAAAAATCTCTGGCTTACCAAGTTTCCCATTCGCTTTTTTGACAGCATCTTCAAGAAGAGCCCACCAGGGGTTTGAACTGTCAGTTGCCGTAAGGATTGGCTTCCCCGACTTATCAAGCACCGAAACCTTCTGCTTGAACTGCCCATGCTACAAAGATAAGTAGAGAAATATTCCAAAATATTCCGTTCGATTCAAATCCGAAACCAAATTCCGAAATCCGAATAAAATTGGATAGGAACTGGAGAACTATAAAGTCATGGAGATGAAATAATTTTTGTTTGTATCTTAGTATAGATGAGTCATACAACTCCCATAATTTTTTAAATCAAGAAATTTCGATTCCGAAATTGGAAATGATATGCATTTTCAAAACATTTTGAATGGGAATTGGAAACATGTATTTTCTGATCTGATCAGACCGAAAATCAGGCCTACATGTACGTATGCATGAAAATGCACAAGCTTTCAAAATTTTAAATATTATGTCTTCCGTAATCATAGTAGTCCGTACTTCTAACTGATGCAATGCACCTAGGCTAAAGCCTGAACATTTTAAGAGCTTAGGACAAACTTAATGGACAACATATCATAAATAGTTAAAACACAGAATACTTGGTAAAGACCACTGATGACTTTTCCTGGCAATGTGAAGAGCAACAACAGAAGGACATTACAACACTGTTACACTGGTCCGTTTGTAACTTTGTGTCCATTATTTGATCAAGCAAGATCAGGAGGTTAAAGGATCACTCATTAGTGCACTGCAACCATTGTAAACGCTACATCGGTTTCTTAGTACTGCCTATTTATTAAGGTATTTAATATTTAATAAAAGCAGACTATATTGAAGTGTTTTTCATACTGATTTACCGTATATAACTTTTAAGTTCTTAAAGTATTCAATAATTTTGTACTTGATAAGATAAGATCAATGTGCTAATTACCCTAAATGTCATGTTGCGTGAAGTAGGGGCCCATTCTTCAGCTATCCTTTTCTCCAAAGACTCCTGATCAGCAATTGGTGGGACCCTAATATCAAAGCCTGCTTCTGCTTCAGATGGCTGCATATTCATTACAAAACCCTGGCAGGCAAAAAGGGAGAGCATTTTTCATCAGAGATGTTGTTATCATGACTGCATAAGGGAGGAACATTATGATCCCAGGTTATGACATAGACGATAATTTCATTGCCAACTTTTGCAAGAATGAATCTCGGCACTTGCCAAATCAAGCTTAACATTTTACGTCCTGCTCCTGTAATATCAAGTGATACATGCACATTTCATCACACGCTTATGTCTGAAGTGATAATGTAATGATGTCCACTAAAATGTGTCACAAGTGTCTATGAATCAATTGTTTAAGAATTCTCTTTAAAAGATTGTACCCAGTGCACAAGGCTCCCGCTTTACGCAGGGTCTGGGAGAGGTGAATGTCGGCTAGCCTTACCCCCATTTTATGGAGAGGCTGCTCCCAAGTCTCGAACCCAAGACCTACCGCTCATGGGCGAAGGCATTTGCCATCTCACCAAGTGCGACCTCTTAAGAATTCTCTTTATAAAAAATAAAATATTATTTAAGAATTCCAATGAAAATCCTTTCCAACACTATAGCGGTATAGCCCCAGAAGATGAGAGTGAGATTTATAAGAAGGCATGAGTTCAATAGCACATACAAGTGATTCTGCTGATTAAGGAGCAAACAACAATATTCAGTTTCATTCATGTGTAGGCGAATCAACAATGCAGTATAGCATATTGTAACAAAATTCCCTTAGGTCCCTCCAAACAATTAAAAAAAAAGGTCGTACCCAGTGCACAAGGCTCCCGCTTTACGCAGGGTCCCTCCAAACAATTAAATTAATAAATTCTAAACATGAATATTCCTTACTGATGTATAAGTTTCAGTTCTGAAACTTATTTTCATCCAAGAAAAGTAAGAGTTCTATTAAACCACGAACTCCATTTAAGCCAGCATCAAGTCATGAAGAAACCAGCACCAAGGTGATTCAACTTACAGTTGGAGTCGGGGTGCCAGCTTTCAGAAACACCATATTAACAGATGACCTCGCCTTCAGCCTTCAATCCCGCTTTCACCAAATCAAACTGTGCAGCCCGGAACCGCCTCACACTCTCAATGCTTTTCAAGAGATTCTCCATGGCAGTGTTGTCATAGAGCTTAGCCCCATGACCAGGAGCCCCAGTAGCCTTGATCACCAGCCACATGGGACACCTCTCCGCATAAAATGCTCTGTAAGTCTCAGTCGGCGACGCCAACCCTGTTTTTTTTTCGAGTACACCCATTTACCAAATAGCACAATCATTAGAAAACAGCAAACCAACACAACGAAAGCATTAGTACACCCAATTAATCAAACCAATAATAAAACTTACAAATCACCAGTGAAATCAGTTGCCCAAATGACACAAGGGCTAGCAATTACCAACTCAATACCAGATACTGACTAGGAGGCGGAATTATCCAGATGATAACATCACTAGCCAATAGCAAACCAATAACAAAAACTGTAAAAAGCACTACTCTTTTGAATTAGCCAGATGATAAAATCACTAGCAATATCGAAAACCGTAAAAAGCACTAGTATTTTCAATTAGCCAGATGATAATATGGCTAGCAAATAGCAAGCAAACAACAAATAATTAACAAGAACTAGTAACAGTGAGCAGTATCATAAGGTCTGATTAGCTCACCTTCATCAAGCACAATTCCGACGTTCAATCCCTTGAAAACATCAGATTCAGCCAGCTTCTCAGCACCGTCGTGTCCCCCAATCTCCTCATCAGGAACAAATGACAAATAAACAGACCTTTTGGGCTTAAACCCAGAAGCCTTGAGCCGTCGAATCGCCTCCAAGTACTGAATCCCGACGCACTTCATGTCCTGGGACCCCCTGGCGTAAACGTCGCCGTTCGAGTCCAAGTTGGCCGAGAAAGGGGGGTGTACCCACTTGTCGTGCTCGGCCGGAACGACGTCGGTGTGGGAATTGAGAAGAACGGAGGAGAGGGAGGGCTCGGAGCCGGGCCATTTGAGGAGGACAAGATGCTTGCCGGGGACGAACTCGAGAGTCTGGGATTCAAGGGAGAGGGACTCGGCCTCGGAGAGAATGAAATCCGCTGCTTCGCGGTACTGGGGATTTGGGTGGGCCGTGTTGATTCGGAGGTATCGTTGGAACCGCGAGATTATCGGATCGTCGTCGGATTGTATGGCCGTTGATTTTGATGAGAGCAGTAGCAGAGAGATTATGCAGAGATTGAGACGAAGCTCCATTTTTTTTTACTTTTGTTTTTGTTTCGTGTGTGTTCAGTGGATAAGTGAGAGAGACATCAGAATTTTCTATAGAAGATGAAGGTTTCTCAAAGCAGTTTTCTTACGAAAATTTTCATTTATCAATTTTGTAACACATATATCTCATTATTTATATAATAATGCATAACGTACCATCTCGTATATTGGTTACATTGAAAAATCTATCCTTACAGCGGAAGTACAATGAATATTTTCATTAATTACCAAATGAATACACACACTAATATATAGCCTTTGGCCATGTACAAATATTCCTCATAACAAACTAACCAAATAATAATAGCTTATAACAAACTATAGTCATGACTTGGCATCTTCATCTTTACGCTCCCCTCATGCATGCCAAACTGGAAAGAATTTAAGGTTCCAAGTGAGAGCTTGGACTGTAGAAATAGAAACTTGTTCTTGGACAAACTTTTAGAGTGTATATCAGCAATTTGATCCTGACTGCAGACATATTGCACCTGAACTAAAATGGCAAGAATCAATTCTCGAATGTAATGATAATCTATTTCAACATGCTTAGTGTGGGCATGGAAAACATGATTTGATGCAAGTGAAATAGCTGATATATAATCTCAGTTGCAGTATGTGCTAATGATCTTTATTCAGCCTCAGTGGAGGAACAAGCCATTGTAGGTTGTTTCTTAGCACTCCAACTTATCAAATTAGAACCCAGAAAAAAAAACACAAAATCAACTAGTGGATCTCCTGTCAAAGGTGCAGTCTGCCCAATCTGCATCAAAGTATGCTGAAAGTTGAAGAGGACCCTTTAAGAAATGGTTTCTTTAAGAAACCTGAGAATCCTCTTAGTTGCCAGCATATGAATGTCAGTGGGAGAATGCATGAATTTGCAGACTTGGTTGACTGCAAATGATATATCTGGCGTGGTCCAAGTAAGGTATTGGAGGCCCCCAACTAATTATTTGTACTCTTTGGGATTAGACAATGGTTGGCATTAAGATCTAACTTAGTTGTACCAAAAGGTGTACAACAGGGTTTCGCGCCATCCATACTTGTTTTCTGCAACAGATCAAGTAGGTATTTGCCTTGATGAAGAAATAAGCCATCAGCAGTTGTACATCATTCCAATCCCAGAAAATAGTGCAGATGACCCAGATCCTTAACTGGGAATAAAGTGTTAAGTTTATGAATGAATTGATTGCAAGTGGAAGTATCTGGACCATTGACAAGTATATCATTAACATATACTAAAACAATAACTAGTGCTTGAAGAACAAATAAAGAAGCATCTGAGGGAGACTGTGAAATCAAGAGACCTGAGAGCTTCAAACAATTTGTCAAACCAAGCTTTTGGGGCTTGTTTGAGTCCATACCATGACTTCTTTAGTTTACAGACATGAGTAAGTAAATTTGAATCAAGAAAACTAGGAGATTGCTGCATAAAGAGCTCATCTTTTAAGTCACCATGTAAAAATGCATTGCTATTATCTAATTGGTTAAGAAACCAATTGAATTGGACTGCAAAAGTAAGGAGAATTTTGATTGTCATAGGCTTTGCCACTGGACTAAAAGTTTCTGATAATCTAACCCCTCTTGCTGCTAAAAACCCTTGGCAACAAGTCTTGCCTTATACCTTTCTAATGTACCATTAAGGTTTTTTTCATCCTAAAGACCCATTTACATCCAACAAGGTTCTGAGATAGGGATGATGGAACCAAAGTCCATGTACCAACATACTGAAGTGCATTGAATTCACCTTGCATAGCTTTTCTCCAATGTTCATACTTGGCAGCTTGAATACAAGTAGTGGGAACAAACTCAGTAGATAGGGGGCAAATGATGTTTTTGTAGCAGTGTATGCCTTGGGTTTGTGAATTTCATTTTTGGATCTAGTGGACATAGGATGAATATTTGTTGCAGTGGGTTGAGACTGCATAGATTGAGGTTGATGAGAAGACAGGGGTGAAGTAGTAGTAATAAGTGTAGGTCAAGGTATATAATTGGTTGAAGTGGAAGATGGTACTGAGATAGGAGTAGAGAGAGTAAACTGAAGATCAATAGGTGAAGGATATAATAGTAAAGTGTTCTGAGCTTGAATTGGAGAGATGCATAGTTTGAAAAAGAAAGGTTTTCTAATAAAAAAAGCACATGCTTGGAAATATACACTTTGTGTGTTTGAGGATCCAAACACCTATAACCCTTATGTTGCAAGCTATAACCAAGGAAAACACACTTTTTACTCTTCCTATCTAGTTTAGACTGCACATATGGCTTCAACCATGGATAGCAACAACATCCAAATTCTTTAAACCTAGAGTAATCTAGATAACTGTGAAACAACAATCCCATGGAGATTGACTTTTACCAAAGATAGGCCATCAATTAATTAAGTAAAGTGCATTAGATAGAGCATCTACCCAATTTTGATGAGGAACATGAGAAACAACTAAAAGAGTCCTAGTTGTTTCCACAAGATGTCGATGCTTTCTTTCCACACAACCATTATGTTCAGGTATATGTGGACAACTTAATTGATGCATAATACCATGAGATTGAAGATAAGATGCAAAAGAAGGATTTGTAAATTCACCCCCTAAATCTAAATGCAATGCTTTGATTTTAATTCCAACAGAAGATTCAACATAGAGCTTAAAAGTTACAAATGTAGAGTACACTTTTGATTTGGTTTTCAAAGGAAAGAACGAACCATACTTTGTAAAATCATCAACTATTAATATCTAAAACCACTTACATAAGTGATGGGTGCAAGATCTTAGACATCACAATGTAACAGTTCTAGACTATGAGATGCTGATGAAGTTGCAGCACCAAAAGGTAACTTATGATTCTTAGCAATTGCACAATCAGAACAACATAAATCAACTAAAGTTTTGCCTTGCACAACAAGTTTATTACCAGAGATCACTCTTCAAAAAATGGAAGAGGAAGGATGACCCAATCAATTGTGCCAGAGTCTGAGAAGAGCTTTGACACTGATGAAAGCTGAGAATGGAGTTGCAGCAAGTGAAGAAGAGCTTTGTAGAGGAAATAAACCATCCTTAACTTGTCCTTGCGAAAGCATCTTCCTCGTAGAATGATCATTGATAGTGGATCCATCAGAATCAAGTGTTAAAGCACATAAATTATCTTTAGCAAACTGATATGCAGATAACATGTTATGTTTCATATAAGAGACATGAAGTACATTATTCAGTTTAAAAGAAGCATTGGGAGTGTGCAGTGAGGATAGACCAATATTGTGTTATAGATAGACCTTTACCATCGCCAATGTAAACTTTATCTTCTCCAGTATATGGCATGAGAGAGTTGATATTACATATATCATTGGTGATGTGAGATGTTGCACCAGAATCAATGAGCCACGAGGGAGAGAGTTTCGAACCATAGTGAGCACACATAGCTTGGCAGGTGGAATGCGACCAGAGATGTCAGGATTCATTCGATCAAAGCAATCAATTGCTTCACGACTTGTGGAGCCACAAATTTGACAAGGAACACGTTGTCCAGAGGAAGATGAAGAACGATGACCTTGAAATTGTCTACGATTTGACTGATTTGTGCGATTGCCTTGATAATTGCCTCTGTTGCCACAATTGTGATGAAATCGATTATCACGATTGTTTCGTCCTCGATTGGAATTGAACCAATAAGAATTCTGAAACGGCTAATGTTGGGCTACGAATACTTGTTGTGGCAGTGGTGTTGGAAGCAAAGATGGCTGAGAGTTAGTTGAGAATGCGCGAAAAGACTTAGTGGCGATGAGGGGTAGCTTTCTTGCAACGAGACATAGAAAGTTCCTTTGTGAGAAGTAGACCATGGAGCTCATCCATAGAAGTAGAAGATAGACGGAGCATGGTCAAGTCAATGAATGACTCAAACTCATCTGGTAATCCAACAAGAGTTGCAACAATGAGATTGCAATCAATTACAAAAGCTTCAGCAATAGTGAGAGAATCAGAAATTTCTTTGATTTGCTGCAAGTAATTAGCCATGGATTGAGTGCCCTTCTGAATCGATTGAAGCTCAGAGCGCAATTGATGAATATGAGCGTCAAATTGCAGCGTAAGCTTGAGCTAGAGATCTCGAGAAAATGAAACACCTACTGTGAAAAGGATTACTTCCTCCAACAATGTGGAATTTAACCAGATTAGAAGGTTTTGATCATTCTCATTAAGGGTGGAAAAAAGACCAAAATTCTCAAACTGAACCGAACAGAAAAAGTCCTGAAAACGAACCGAAAATCTCAAACTATTCGGTAGCCGATCGCGAAAAGTTTGGTATGGGTTTTGGGATCACATATGTTTTTATTCAATAATCCCAAACTGAACCTATAAATATTCTAATATAATTTTATATGGGAATTGTTATTAGCACTCCAAAAGTCTCATTCTACACTTCTCACAAGTGTATTTTTCTTTCTAATTATAGAAAGTTTGGAGTGCAAAATGAGATTTGTAGAGTGCCAATAACAATTCCCCTTTATATATAGTTGTATTAATAATAGCCACTACATTTGGTTGAGATTTCATTCATTTAAAACTTAACTCTCTCTTACCTCACTTCCTTACAGACCTCAGACTCTCTCAACCTTCGAATACAATTCCTGCAACCTCTACTCCCTCCCAAACCCCCAAAACCCTAAATCCCCAACCTTCTTTGTCTCTTTCCAGTGCCCAATTGCCCATCCACACAAGTAGATGGGGCTCCCCACTAGCGGCAGCTAGCTATCATGGTCAATTTTGCTTCATAAGTTGTCAATGAGAAAGCCATGTAATTGATGAGATGAAAATTTTATGGTTAGCAAGAAATGAGGACTAGAAAGAGAGTGATTAGTGTAGAGTTAGGGAAAATTTTACGCGTTTCGGTTTGGTTTAGAGTTTTGGAATCCCGTCCCGAAAATTATTGTTTTGGGATTCGGGCTTTGGGTTTCGGTTCAGGATCCCAACCAGAACCAGCCCTACTTCTCATACTAGATCTCAAGGGCAGGATTCAGAGATCGATTAGGCAAAAATGGCAACATGCATGGTTCTATTCCATCGATGATTCCAAGGAGCTTGTAACGCCTGAAGATTGGAGCG